GGACCACTAGTTTTGACTTAAAGTACCAAATTTTTTTTTAATCACGACACTGGTGGTAGGAGCTATTGTGTGAGTCCGCACGGGTAGGTACCACCGCCCTGCCTATTTCTGACGTGAAGCAGTAATGCGTTTCGGTTTGAAGGGTGGGGTAGCCGTTGTAACTATACTGAGACCTTAGAACTTATATCTCAAGGTGGGTGGCGCATTTACGTTGTAGATGTCTATGGGCTCCAGTAACCACTTAACACCAGGTGGGCTGTGAGCTCGTCCACCCATCTAAGTAATAAAAAAAAAGAAAAAAAGACACATCCTCTTAACTTAGATGGCAGGCAGCGTTATTGTTATCATGCTTATGGGCTGCGTTAACCGTCTAACTTTAGGAGGAATTTCAGCTTGTCCACACATATAAACTAATAATAAAAACAACGGTGAGGAAATTACGACCCCAATACATTGCGAACATAGCTGCTGACGCTTATTGGCAATAAAATTATCATTTAAATCTTAAATTTCACTCCTATTAAATATATTTTGCTTCATTTCAATTTATCTAAAAAATATTTTTTAACAAAAATATAATAAAATCCTTATATTTCTCTGTTGATAATTCGTAATTGGCATATTATACAGAGACAAAGCACAGTTTCTAACGAACGTGAGTTTTAATTTTGACAATGTTCCGGAGTTCGTAGTAAATTCGAAATTTACATTTTTATCAATATTCTGTTTAATGTTTTTAACTTTTCGATACTACTAATAGAAATTCTAGCCATAAACAGCGTTAGAATAAAAAAATACATTAAATTTGTATTTCGAAACTCTCATTCATACAAGTATATACATATAGTCATTGAAGATTCAATGTGTTTTCTCACTTTTCTCTTGTTCATCCTGTGTTAGCACAACTTCGAAAGTTTGACGTTCACGTTACGGTGACGTTACACAATTTTAATACGATGATCGTAGGTGACCACGTAAGCCGTAAAGCATTGGAAAAGTCGGAAATAATATTATGATAATGACAAAAAAAAACGATGTTAAGCTGTAAAAATAGTTTTAATTATGCCTACGACTCGCAAAAACCGAAGAAAATAGCGAACCATGTTATTAAATATTTTTGTATAAAAACAGAGTGGATGATAAAGCGAACCAAATCGCTGTGATAGCATTAAACAAAGTAAGTATGGGGGCCAAATGCAAAACACTCTATCCGCTCATTATTAGTCGAATGTTTGTGTAAGTTGGTAAGTAAGAATGGTTGGGTAAGTAAACGATAACTTAAAAGTGAATAGGGTGGTAAAATAAAACAACTTCTCGAGGGGTACGCAAGGGAGGTCACAGAAAAATATCCGGCTTCGGTGATAGTTTTTGGGGTGAAATGTCAGCCCAGGCGTATCAAGCTACGACTTTTAGAAGGTGGTTAAACATCTTAAACACACCCTGTTCCCTAATAAAAAATAGTCCTTCCAGAAGATTCAGCCATGTCATAAAATTCGATCTCCATAAACGTAGCAGGAAAGGAACGTTTATGAGTTCATTCTTTCTGAAGCTTGAATCGATCTTATCCATTGGATTATGCTTTATGGTGTCTTTTAGAAAGTATTTAGGATCCCTAAAACATGATAGGTCGTACAAAATATTCCTATGTAGAAAGTGGGAGTTTTAATTGATATCTGGTCACAGCAATCACAACCGCCAAGCCAGCCAGACCGTCGTTATTTTATAGAAGCTGAAAGTTTCTCGAAGCGGGTAGGCCTGTTTAGATTATAGTGGTTTTTGCAAGTAGATGGTAACAAAGATGTGTAACGTATCAGCCTGAATTCGTTTAATTACATGGCTCATTTTTTCCATATTTTCTTCTGGATAGTACTAGAAAACGAACTTGTATAAAATAATTTAAAAAAAATTCACAGCCATAAAAAGCGGCCACAGGCTAATCGAGAAAAAATAGAATGAGCTACTTTTAAATGATATTTATATTAATGTATAAACTAACACACACTGCGACACTAGTTGTTTCATGTAATAGAAAAAAAACAAGGTTTTCTTGCATCACTATTTATATTTTATAGCAAGATTAAGTGTAAAGATTGGAGTTTTAAATTTTAACATATTTGCTACGTAGCTTTTACTTTTAAATTCTTTAAAAACTTTGAGGGTAATTATAATGTGTTTGTTTAAAATTAAAAAAACGACCATGTATATACGTTATTTCTAAATAAGTAACTAATTAATATTCTATATTAGGTATATTCCAGTTATTTTGATCGATAATTTATTCATATTAATTTGCTATGATATAATGATGAGTCAAAATCACAGGTTAAGATGTGAAGAAAAAAAATATATTACGATTAAGCAACAAAATTTTAATGATTTTATGTAATCGCAGATAAAACATAATCAGGAAATGTTTTAGCAGTTGACTTCTGATACCTATTTGACCACAACTCAGTAGTTTCTTTTTTTATGATTGATGGATTATTGGTGACCCGGAGGCCTTTCCCGTTTGACTAAAACAGGTGGATGAGCAAAAACTCAGCCAGGATGGGTGGGATTTACTAACAGCTACCCGGGCGCCTCCAAAGGAGTCCTAACAACTCAAGAGCAGTTGCTTCGCGGATGAATCTATTACCGGATCGGAATCGCGCGAGGACCGCTGAGAAGACCCGGCGAGAAACTCAGCGGACTAATGTTTCGGTTAGGTTGCACGTCGAACTCTTTGCCGAGTTCCACCAGTACGGTTACCGGGGTCCCTAATCCTGCTCCTAGTGTTAGAGCAAAATGCGTATAATGCAAGGTTTATTGGATCTGATGGATCGATAAGAAGGTGACAGTAGTTTCATAGTATTTTTACAATTGCAGACAAATGAACACAAGCTGGTGGGACTTTGTAGTCGTCGTGGCCTAACGGATAAGACGTCCGGTGCATTCGTGTTGAAGCGATGCACCGGTGTTCGAATCCCGCAGGCGGATACCAATTTTTCTAATGAAATACGTACTCAACAAATGTTCACGATTGACTTTCACGGTGAAGGAATAACATCGTGTAATAAAAATAAAACTATACTTGAGAACTTAGAACTTGTATCTCAAGGTGGGTGGCGCATTTACGTTGTGGATGTCTATGAGCTCTAGTAACCACTTAGCACCAGGAGGGCTGTGAGCTCGTCCACACATCTAAGCAAAAAAAAATAAAAAAATATGTCAAACTTCAATAGAAATTGTTACGTTTGCGCACATAGAAATCGGCAATGCTAGAGGGACAATGGCTAGCATGGAAGCAGTCGTGCGTTCTAGTTTGAGGGGTGGAGGAACAGTAGTTCTCAGTACTATTGAGAATTCGATTTCATGTCAAGGTGACATTTACGTTGTGATACCTATCATGGGCTCCAGTGACCACTTAACATCAGGGGGTCAGCTCGTTCACCCGTAACACCCGCACACCGTAATATCGACGCAATAAAAAAATTATAAATCAACAAGAGAGAGGCTTCTTTACCACAACTAAGGAATCTGTTAAAATACAAGTCATAAGGCGCTGTTAGACGACTTTGAAGTATTTTCAATGTTCAAATTTATTTATGAAATCCATTTTCGAATAGATATCCAGTGAATCACGCAGGGCATCTCTGTATCGGTGTCACTGAATTTTTGAAAACATCCGATAATACCTGGATAGATTATAAACAGGAACTGTTATTATGTCTGTATTATTGTCAACGGGAGATTTTATCTATATCTATAGTATATATAAAAATGAATTGCTGTTCGTTAGTCTCGCTAAAACTCGAGAACGGCTGGACAGATTTGGCTAATTTTGGTCTTGAATTATTTGTAGAAGTCCAGAGAAGGTTTAAAAGGTAGATAAATATGAAAATGCTCGAAATTAAATAAAAATAACAATTTTGTTTTTCCTTTCATGCGTCCCCCGTCGGACAGATTCCTTTTGTTTGTTTTAAGTTTATTTGATACAAAAGTTTAAGTCTTTTATTTATCGATTGAGGCACTACGAAGTCTGCCGGGTCAACTAGTTTATAATAAAAACCTTTAAAATAGTTTGTTTATCATCTGCGCGGCCTTGTAAAATTTGGGAACAACACTAGTTACGGTTCAGAGTATTGTTAGTATTATGTAGGAACCTATCGGACTCATAGCCCACCAGGTCTCGCAACGTGAATACCGGCATCGACTCTGAAACATGAAGTCGAAGTCTTAATTGTACTTGTAATAAAAACTATTCCAACTCCTTCAACCGGATCGCAGACTAGGTACTTCGTAACCTAGTAGACAAAATACAAATACATAAAGGATATTTATTAATCTCTCAACGTATAGATCGTTGATGAATGCGTTAGATACGTTAATACTTATAAAAATTGGTATCTGCCTAAGAATTTGTACGGAATAGTACAAGGACTAAGAAATTAATATACAAAGTCGGTATCGGATCTCTTGACTAAGCTGCTAGTGAGCTTCTAAGAGATTGGCCAAGTTAATTTGTTTTGACAATTGCTATCCAGCATACATGGTTTTTATGTATAACTTTGTATGTAAATTATATTGTTACGAAGTTATAATGCAAATAACTCCATTGCATGAATATATAACACTCATACTTGAAGGTATCTATACTTTCTTTTGTCGTTGCAATATCTGAACAGCAATGTGTGCGTCAGATATTGCGAAAAGTAAAAACAAGTTTTCCTCAAAGAAGCAGCACTTTAAATCTGGTCATTTTTTGTACCGTAAGCATATATACGATGTATGTATGTAGATGGTTTTATAAAGAGTGTCCAAAACTTTTAATATTATTATACTTTTAGTAATTAAGCTAGCCTTCTAATTACTTCAGGATTTTATAAGTTTCATTATTTTTGTGGCGGACTAACAAGTTTTATTATTTTAAATAGCTATATAATTTAATAATTACGCAACCGATTTACTTTTAATTTTATGATAGTGGCCACGTTTTCTGCACACAAAAAATACAAAATTACCTTGAATGGTCATTAACAGCAACATCAACATCGAAGAAGATGTCAACTAATTCGCCAATGTCCGATTCTGGTGTTAGCGACGGTGGCAACGATATCGAAGGAGTTGCGGCGCCATTCACAGAGTGAACACCGCAGTTGAAAAGCATGGGCTCGGATTGAACCACGGGCAGCATGTTTATAGCACAATCCAATGTTCAAAAGCACTGTTCTTGAAATCAATGTCACAAAATAACTCAAAACAACACACTTCATATACACATCGAAACGTACACTGCATTGCGCCACAATTGCCGCGACGTATTTTTATGATAGAGATTATACCTACTAGACAGAAACACTTTCAAAATAAAAATTCTTAAACACTGAGCTGTTTTGATTTATTCTCCGTTAACGTGTGATGTATCTGAAGCGCTACATGCAATAACTTCATTACGTAGTGATAGTGCAATTTCCTATCGATATCCAAGCGAAACGTTCGCTACGAAACGACGATGAAAGTCAACTGAAAGACGAGACGCAGATATACATACATCCTTTTCGTTCGCGGCTTTACGAATTATCAACACGACGAACGGCGGGCTGCGCGGCGCGGCGCTACGTATAACTTCGACGGAGACGATGATGACGGCAGCTGCTGTAGCATGGCGGGCGACGGCGCGGCGCGGTGGAGGCGGCGAGTGGGAAAAGCCGGACCGCGGGACTGACAGAATAGTATTGCTCGTACACTCACACCCACGTCATTTTCGATTCACCCTACTCTGCGATCTCGCTCACTAAAACCGATACGAATTTTTTTCGCCAAACAGGACCCGAAATTCTACGACTTACTTAATGCGAGCGTTAGAATTTCGTTTCGATTTAAATAACTTTGCTGGAGATTTATATAATAATGGAACAAGCTGAGGTTTACGCCATAATGTTTTTGTAAATTCAATACATTAGCAAAAAAATAGTAACCATGTCATTTAGTAGTCTTGTATATAAAAAAAATTATAATATATATTTTAAGAAATTAATGTTTAATTAATTAAACATTAATTTATATTTAAATATAGATTCGTATATTTGTCATTCTCTTCTATTTAATAGAATTTTAAAGATATAGTGTTACTTAGGTTTTTTGTTCTTTTTATTAAGCTTTTCACTATATTAAATTTGGTACCATACTTATTTGTTATCATTTTATTTTAAAATAATAATTATGGGTTTTTGCGCTATTTTTATTAATGAAACAATTTAAAACGCTTGGAATGCTGTCAGACAAGTTATACGCGCATAAAGTTCCAAGCGTCGCGAACGGTGATGGATATCTAAGCAATCAAGTCACCGGAAGTGGTGGTGTCAGACAGACCGATCCCCGCGCAGTTCGCACAAGACGACCTATTAACTGATAACTGAAGCGTGATAAAAATATTTTCAAGAATAAATCTGCTATTATCCAACTACTGTAAGACATTATAAAAGCTTATCGAAATTTTGGGTTTGATATAGAAGGTTATAACAGCATACTGGTCATCTTTTTAGACGCTTTATATTAGCTTCACTTGTTTGTATGTATGTTTGTATGTTTGTAACTGACTCCTTTAGACGCGATTTTGACCCACTTTAAACGGCCAGATTTCATTCAAACTTTGTAGATTTATCGAGGACTGATGACAATACATTAATTTGATAAGATTATTTAGTTGAATTTTATATAAATCGTGTTTTTTAGTTTTTTTTAACTATTATCTATTAGTATTATACATTATTTCAGTTCAACAGTAATTATAATTGTTTTTTAAAGGAATAAAAAACTAAATAAATAATATACCTAATACCTAACAGAAATAACGTCACGATTACTAACGCGTAAAACTATTGCGAAATAATTTACAATCATTATTTGAATGTAGGTCAATAAAAATAAATTAACGAGAATAAATTATGTCAACCACCACTTTTTACCTCAAACAGTAACCAATATAAATGTTGTTTGGGACATTTTATTCTTCATGTGAAACAATTTACACAGAACTGTGCATCATTCACAAATGAATCATTTTAGTAGGTCAGTGTCAGGCCGATACACAGCGACGCGGCGATGGTTACGAGTTTAACGTGTATTTTCGTTCTATTTAATATAAGAATTATTAGATGATTAATTGCAAGAGCCACGTAAAGGTGGGGCACAAGTTGGTGTGACGTAGGCTCAGAGCAGGGTAGCGGTCTAACGAAGATATTAAAGGAGGGGAATTCGAACGAAGTGTGCGCCGCAAGTCGCGACGGCCGTGTACCACGTCATTGCCGTGACCTACTGACATAGATCCGCGGGGCCGCCTGCACCGATATCTGCACGCGCCGCGCTCTTCCTCTATATTGCCTCTTTACAACCTACGTACTAACTCACCTGTTTTGCATATTTAAAAACTATCCCTTTTTGGGATCGACTACTTTTTAAACACATTTTAACTACTTCTTATTTGTCGATTATTCAATGTCATTTTTAATACAATTAAACAACGATTGCATGAGGTAAAAGTAAAGTAAAAAGATAAACAAAACGTATATTTTTTTAAATTTATATAACTATTTTTATTTAACAGTTATTATGACAAACTTTGAACTGAGTATTATCTATATATATAAAAATGAATTGCTGTTCGTTAGTCTCGCTAAAACTCGAGAACGGCTGGACCGATTTGGCAATTGTGGTCTTGAATTATTTGTGGAAGTCCAGAGAAGGTTTAAAAGGTAAATAAATATGAAAATGCTCGGAATTAAATAAAAATAACAATTTTGTTTTCCTTTTGATGTGTCCTCCGTCGGACGGATTCCTTTTGTTTGTTTTAAGTTTATTTTATACAAAAGTTTAGGTCTTTTATGTATCGATTGAGACACTACGAAGTCTGCCGGGTCAGCTAGTAACCAATAAATATAATTCAATCAAGTATTTAATTACATTTTAGGTATGTTTATTGAATTGCAAAAACACGAATCTATATTATTGATTGAATTATGCATATGACCTTGTTATCTAAATTCTGCACTTGACACAAATACTGTTCCATTTCACTTTCATGTCTGCTCTATGTGTTACAGTTCAGTTCGCACAGTCTATCGTGGCTATAGAACGTGCAGACAATTCACCATTCATGTTGTTTTATATAATATTTTAATTTAATTTACATACGCCTTTTAATTATAATGTTTAAGTTTTAACTAAAATAGAAATACTAACTAGTAAGGGAGATATGTTTTTTTTTTAAATTATACCTTGTCTTATTTTTTCCTTTCTCTATTAATAACGCTTTATATGATCCTACTGTTTATGTAGGCGCTACATAAATGAGTATTTTTTGGAACTTGTATATTTTTATTGCCTTTGTAGGCTCGCCATCATGGTTTGACCATGGTTACCGTAACTCATGAACGTCAGCAAAGACAGAGACAGAGCAAAGTCGCTGCCTACCGCTATCTACCTAACTCCCTATTACTACCGCTGTCTACCTAACTCCCTATTACTACTGCTATCTACCTATCTCCCTATTACTACCGCTATCTACCTATCTCCCTATTACTACCGCTATTTACCAATTGATACAGCGTATGTACTTAATTCAACTAGCCGCTAACCGTTGAATAAGTTGTATCGTTGGTTTAATTAAACATGAACAATATAAAGATGTCTGCACAAATATTGTGCTTCACTTATTCAAACAATTTCACGCTCGACAAACTTAAATGGAGCTCATATTTACAAGGAGCGATGAAGTATAACCTCGTGGGAGCTTAACTAATATGATCAAATGAAACAACTAATGAGAATATAAATGGCGTAATATATTGGATAGGGACACAAGCGCAGGGGCCACGCTGTACTGATAATTACCACAAACAAATCAAGGGTCGTTTAGCAATTAAATATCGGTGAAAACATATATGTATTATTATTATATTATAGTTGAAGTTAAACTATATCTGTATAGGAATACTTCTAGTATAAGGAGAATAAAAACTGATTATTTTGTGAAATAATATAATTACAGATTCACAATATCACGTATTTAAAAGAGATGAAATTATTTTCATCTGTATACTTTTTTTTTTTGTAATTGCATATAATAATACTGTATAATATGATCATAATTGAATAGGTACATTCCGCGATTGTACGTGTGAAATAGAAAATAAAACGCTATTATCACAAAAATATGTAATATTATCCGCAAAGAATCCCCGCAAATGCTTTAGCGTCACGTGGGCGGGCAGATCGATTCGACGGACAGAAAGTGCGGCGCATGCGCGGACAGGGCCCGTCACATATCGACCGCCAACTTTAACCGGACGCTTTTGGGGCAGGTTAGGCCTATGCTCCGGGGTCAAGGTCACGTTCCTGGCCGTTGAAATATTGTTATATCTTTATGGACAACCGATTCGTTTCACTTTCACTGTCAGTTTATAGGTCGCTCTAGGTGCTTCGTGTAAGCTTTCAGGGAATACATCGTAATTAAGTATCGGTTTTACTTGCAATAATATATTTTTGTTTGTTGTTTATTATTATTATCTATTATTCTCAGGTATTAATTCATTATTTAGGACAAATACCAAGAATATGTTTTATTCAGCAGTCACGTGGAAAACAAGAGGTACGCACTGTTTTAATTAAAATTAATCTGTACCTGGTTAATTCTAATTAATAACCCACGTTTTCAGGTAATCTAATAATTTATGTATGTAAGCGAAATATTAAATGTTGTAATACGATAAACGGCAGACGAGAGATTGAATTATTCTCTTTACTAAAAATCATTACTCTCCCATAAAATTGATCGAACAAGCGAAGTACAAGGTACGAGGAGTCTTCTGGGTCGTCATGGAGACCGCCTGCCGCTGGTGCCGCCAGAGCGTCGCCGTCGTATCGTAAGCAAGCTTATCAAATACTTTATATAATTACATTCCTTGCTTTACAACAAATTTATTGATACGAGCTCAAAAAAGGGAAAACGTTTTCTTTTCTACGCAGTATCGAATGTTATCTTATATATTAATACGTGAAGCAAAAACTTTGTATCCCTTTTTACGAAAATTGCGCGGATTGAGGAGTATGAAATTTTCCACACTTATAGAGAATATAGAGAAGAAGTGCACAATACAAATATTTTTTTAAAATAATGCATAAAAGATACATTAAATCAATAAAGAAAACATTACACACACTACATACCATGTATTTGACGCATACGCATGCATACTATTTATTGTCAAACTTTTGTTCTTGACGTCTGTTGTCAAATTGAGAATAGATTAAATATTGTTTGTCTTTGTTAAAAAAAATTATAGTGTAATCTTGGCGAAATTTGTGATTATAGAAGTATAAAATACAATCATAATAGTGTACAAACTTACAATTCCAATTAATTATAGTCGAATTTCGACTACTGCGGGACCTCTAGTCTATTTAGATTCGTCTGAATTTTCTCAATACACACTAATACTTAACAAACTTCAGTGCAAAATTTAATCTTTTTTTATACCACACCATGAACGTAAAATTATTTTAACCACCCTTATATCCAGATGACAATCCACAAAGAGATTATAACTAAGTCATTGTTGCAAGAGTACCTGTGCGCGTTCGTAATACCTCTAGAAAACATATTAATACATACCTAGCATCTTCAATGCCGGGAACTGGCATAAATAGTTCATTTATTAAGCTGGCGCGATTAGGCGCCCTGTTATTCTTGTCCGTAGTTAGTTCTCAAACGTTATGTGATTATTGATAAATACCTGTAACAACAAAATATAATTTTCTTATTAAGTAAACGAATGTGTTTGGTAAAAGTTTAATGTTTCCTCAAATATTTCAATTCAACATTACG